GAAGCCTATAGTTTTATTTTGTAAACGTAATTCTTTGTTTAAATAAGGGCGGTCTTTCTCAGTTTCCGATGTCTCCAAAACGCTCCGTAAGCTGTAAGTGAAAGGTTATTGATTCAGGCACGTGAGTTTGCAACTATAATATTTGGTGTTGACTTGCGAGATTCAGAAATACAAAGGGGAAAGGTTAGTGATAAATCACACCCCCATCGAAGAGCAATGTGCACTGAAGTGTTTTCTTTAACAAACTCACATTTTACATTTTACAAAAATTCTTACAGAAGTTGCCTTGTTACGATCTGTAGTTTCATCTTGGCTATTTTTGTGTTGAAATGGGATATGTTTATATTTAAAATTGTTTGTAATGATGAAGCAATCACTCCGTACTTGTCAGATAGTTTGAAACTGCTTTGACGTGTTTTGCAAACTTCCGTAGTTGCTACAGGTGAGGAACTATTGAAGTTTGTTAGAGGAACTATCTTGATTTTGCTGAGTTTAATGACGTTAATGGTTTACGGAAGTATAATCTATATCTAAAAGATTTATTAGAATTTAAATATGTGCTTTAGGGATTCGAAGTGGATTTAACAGCTCAAAAATTGGGACCAGATGTAAAATGGATTTTATATTTATTTAGATATTAATTTTTGAATTGAGGAGAAATAACATAATAGATAAGAACTGAATGCAATAAATTGTATTTTTTTAGTAAAATAATTAAGTTATACATTTATTGAAAAAAATATCTTTACGTACCTTTTTGGCTATGGACATTACAAACCTCATGAATGTTACCTTATGGACATTAGAACTATTTCTGAAATGTGTTGGATAGGGTGGACTTGAATACAGATCGCGGAGCTGTAAAGCTTATGTGCCCTGGAGGCGCAGTACAGCTGGCGCTCCGGCTGCCGGGTCCGTTGCCGTGTGGCCGGCTGTCTGTTCGCCGCGCCTGGGATTTGCCGTCGGTATAATCCGCTCCGACAGCACCGTCTTGCGAAGACTTTGAGGCTCCATTGCCTCAGACCAGAGCCTCACTACCACACCTACATTGCTTACACCCGCTTCAGCGTTCTCCTATCGCACCACACGACGTACCTTTTTCGACTCTCTCCTGTTGG